CTCAAATTCAGGAGTTTTTAATCATACATTTTCCTGAACAAGAATCTACGAATATAAGAAATCACATTTAGATCACTATAATTTTAGCTTGCCGGGTTTTTTTTGTTCTATCCCTTGCTTTTGAAGATGCAAATTCCAATAATTCCTTTGCCTCTAGAAAGTGTTCTTGAGAGAGGACAATAATTCATCTGCCTCTAGAAAGGGTCCTTGCTGTCTTGATTTTCTTCCTGTGTTGCTGGTGCACTATTATGTACTTTAAAGACTGTTAAACTATTGGCATTAGCAAATATATACATATTTGCAACATCAATAAAATGGTTAATTTATTAAGAGAATTTTATTAAAGGACAAAACATAAGTAAAGTTTCTTGGGCATAGGGAAAGTTGCAATAACATAAAAGTTAAAAGTAGCACATATGTTACTGCCCCCCTGCTAGTTCCAAAAGACAATATTACTTTAATGTAAAATGAATTGGTCTGGCTAGCAAGAGATTTCATTAATGAGCTGTGAATGCCAGCAATTTAACAAATTCTTGAAAAGTACATAATAGACAGTAAACCATCACCACAGGATGGAAAATGAAGACAGCAGCACCCAGAACACAAATATCATTATCTTATCACAACAAGCCCTCATCTCATTCTGAACAAGAACTGTCTATGTCAGAGGTCAGCAACCCCTGGCATGTGTGTTGAGCATGGCATGCAAGGCCATTTTCCTCGGCATGCATTATGGCTGGGGCCAGGGCAGCAGCAGCTGTTTGGCCCCTCTGTGTGCTACCGCTCTGGGTCGGACACACACACACTGCTCTGGGGGGTCCAGGGGAGGGCAGCAGGGGTGGGAGCGCAATGTGTGCGACCCAGAGCAGCAGTGCACAGAGGGGCTGCACAGGGAAGCTGGCTGCTGCTGCAAGCTCCGTGCTGCCCGGTTCACACTTCCCCTGTGTGCACAGGAGCAGCATAGGCAGCACGCAGGGTTGTGCCCCTCACTGCTGCCCCCACCTGCAGGGGAAGTGTGGCCAGGGCAATGGGGAGATGGGAGTGGCAGGCATTTTTCTGCATCCCCCACTGTGCCCTGCCATACTGGGTTCCAACACTGCTCTGCAGAAACAGCAGTGAGGGAAGCACAGCAGGGACCGTCGCAGGTATCTGCTTCCTCCCCAGATCCTAGGGCCAGGATGGAGAGGCAGCAGCTGTTTGCAGCTGGCCCAGGTTCTGGGTAGCTGCTGATAGCCACAGAGCCTGAGCTGGAGGGCAAGGGGAAGCAGGGCTAGGGGGCACAGGGCAGCAGGGCATCCTGCCATATACTCCCTGCCCTCGTTTTGTTTTTCTGGCATGCTGCCACTCCAGCACCTTCCAAGGTAGGTATTGTGGGTTTTTTTAGGCACTCTGGCCAAAAAACATTGCCTTACCCCTGGTTTATATGCTCCCAAAGTTCTACAAACAAGGTAACCCTGGAAGACTCATCAAATCCAGCTGTGGTACCCTCACTGAAGAGCTATCAGGATTCATAGTAATTATCCTGAAACCACTTGTAGAAAGTTTGCTCTTTGAGTGACAAGGCATTTGGGTTTCCTCAAAAGAATCCAGAATGAATCAACCACTTCCCTGAGAAGAACACACTTGCAACCATGGATGTGTGTTACTGACTTGCTCACTAACACTGCACACCATGAAGGCACAGCTGCCTTCATGAAATACCTAGACTTCCTATTCCAAGGGCTAAAAGATGTTGCCCAGCCTGTCAATGAATAGTATCTTCCAAAACTCCTAATGTCTTAGAATGCCCTTTATGTAATGACATAAGGAGAAAGTATTTATCACCATTCTTGCAGAAATCGACATATTTCTTAAATAGAGAGAAATTAATATGGCTCCTCCAGCAAACAGATTCATATTTAGTAAACTGTCTTGCAACTTCTGCTTTTAAGGCTGAAGTACTCAGAGCTAAATATCTTTTACTGTTGATATGACTGATAAACTTCATCACTATATTTGTTTTTTACTGCGTCAATTGTGGACCTGTGAATAAACATTTTTATAGGTTTATGATTTGACTTATTACCATATTTGTATTTATGATAATTTTAGGAGCAGGAACAATCCTTTTATAATGGTTGTCCCTATTCTGTTGTTATCTTTATACTTTTGTTATTTTTGCTTACATTTATATTATGGTTCTATGTCTGTTAAGTTGTTTTCAGGAGCATGACTTTTAGCCAGGATCCTTAATTATAAATTGAACTGAAATACCTAAAAGAACAACTGAATACTCAGATTTGCAACATGTTAGATAAATCAACCACTTGATTCTCACCTGCGACAACTTCATTTTCAACGATCAACACTTGAGGACAACAAGAAGTCCTTTTTTAAATACATAGGGAGTAGAAAGAAGGCCCCAGGAAATGTGGGGCCCTTGCACGACAAGATGGGGAATCTAGTTGTCATGCCAGACGGCAAAGCTAACATATTTAATAACTTCTTTGCCTCTGTCTTCCTCAGTAAGGACCAGAACTGCC